TTTTTTTAATAAAAATCTATGTGTATAAAATATTGAAAAAAATAATCGACTAATTGCTTGAATTAATAAAGAATAAGTTATACCAGATATTGATACCATTATAAAATAAGCTCGGAAAATACATAATGGTTGAGAATAAAGCCAGTCATTACGAGTACCATAATAACATCCAATTAGATGGAAAATAAAATAAATTAGTGAAGATATACATAAATCGAATATAAGAATATTTTTAATAGTATAACATTTTCGATTAGTTATTATTATAAAATTTATCAATAAACTAAATGTAAGACCAATAACTGAAACTATAACAGAGGTTAGAAAGTTGATAGTGTAAAAACGTTCTGACAACATTTCTGTTTGTTATTGAACAATCTATTCTACTTGTTGACAGTTGGCAAATGAATGAATGAATGAATGTTTACTAGAAAAAGAAGGAAATTAAATCGACAGTTTTGACGTATACAAGAGCTAATTTAGATTTTTATTGAAAATAAAAGAAAAAGAAAAACTATCTGATGTATTTCTTTTTTTTTATTCTTTTCAAATAAATTATTAAAATCTTAATAATATATATGTTGTATCTAAATGTTTATTGAAATCCTAAGCGCATTGAATATAACAATAGAACATTTATATCTATCTACGTAAATATATAAAATAACAATTTTCTGCATTCACTTATTTATATATCACAGGAAAAAAACATCACGAGATAATTATAGCATTGTCTATTTATCATAGTTGATTCATGTAAAAAGCAAAAAATATTAGAATTTATTTATAATGATTAATAAAATATTCCATTGAGATCTAATGTTATTAATTATACATTATTCTCTTTGATCTAAAAATATATTAATGTCCGTTATAGCGTAATTCGAATAAACAATGGACTAAAGAATACTAGATTGAATAACGTCGATTATTGAAGGATCAAAGTCATATTTAAGATAAAATTAACTCATCAATGTTCGACTCTGTATGTCTGTTCTTAAATCAAAGAAGGTTATAGAATTCTTAATAGTTTCAAACTTATCGATTTTATTAAACATTCATATTACTACTGTGTACTTATTTGCGTTATATTATTGTTGCCAAATCTCTTATACAACATGCATGTTAAATTCGAAAAGAGGATGCAACTAGGAAAGAATGTGTCTCAAAATAATACTATCAAGTAGTTGAATATAGTTAAACTTCTACTAGTAAATATCTTCTAATTATGAAAAGTTTCAGATTCGACAAAGCAGTTTTTGCTGGTATAAATTGATTGAAAAAGACTAGCTCAGAATTAGATATTTTTTCAATTTTAAAGTAATTCTATACTGAACATTGTTTTCGAAGAGTCCCGATGATATTCACAATAGAGAGATTGTACTATACACAAGAAAAAATACATTGTCAGACTATTTAAAATACGGTAGACACAAAAATATATTCTAGAACAGTTAAGAATACTTTACGAAAATTTAATATCTCATTTGAATTTAATTTTATATAAATACATGATATAAATATGGTTGTGAATTAAACTGTTCTATTATATTATGCAGATGCAAAACTTGTGCCTTTAATATAGAAAAATCATCCAACGACAAAAAATTCTATGACAACTGAAATGTCATTATGAATAGTTGATAAAATTATGTGAAAAACTAGTATTTCCAATGATACAATGACAAATGTATAGACTACTGAATTTATTCTATTCATGCGTTGTTTTATAACTTATTTAATGTCTGTCAAATATGTAGCCCAAAGTTTAATGTGATATAAAATTTTTGTAAGATATTCTTGATTATCCTAGAATCCTTTGTACTTAGTTTAAACATAAGATATCATTAAAAAAACTCGTGGTATATGAATATTTCTTCTTATTTTGATAGAAATGCATAGTTATTTTTTTTTCATCCTTTCATTTATTCATCCGAACGAACGAAGCATATCATTTAGTCTTTTCATGTGATTTTATCTGAATTATGTTGATATTTACGTCATATATTATTTGTATTTTTTGTCTATTATGAATATTTATGGTAAATACAAAAACAACTAATATAACTTGTTTTATAATACATACGATACTAGTTGAAGGCCAATGACGATTGAAAATCGTTTGTAAATATTATACGATCATTTTAGATTTTGATTCTTAATAAGTATTATTAATTAGAAAAAATGGAACAGAAAAAAACTCGAAAAGAACGAAGTAATACTGATTTAACACAAAAAGGTTTGTTATTAATCTATTTAATAATTCATTGTTTTTTTTACAAATATTTCTTTATAGAAATAGCTATGCTTAAAACAACTACAAATTTAACCGAAAAAGGTATATATTTATTTGTATATTCTAATGTATATTTAATATTTTTATTCTATAGAAATTAAATTATGGCATACTGTATGTTTTATTATATTATCAATTTGAAAAATATTCGATTGAATTTAATTGTATAGGAATTTCTTCGTAAATATCCAAATGGTAAACTTGATAAAGATACATTTATTGATACTTATAAAGAATTATATCCAACAAATGATACAACTCTTTCATGCAAGTATGGGATTTTATTAGAAATAGAAAAAAGTTAACTAATATATTTCATTTTCTAGTACTTTATTTAATGTAATCGATAAAAATCATGATAATTCAATTGATTTTAATGAATTTCTTTTTCTTGCTGCTGTTGGAAATCGTACTGGTAGTTTAGATGAACGACTTGATATTATTTTTGATTTGTAAGATTTATTAAATATTTTTTTATTTTATTTATTTTTTTTGATAAATTAAGATGGGATGTTTCAAATGATGGCTTACTTGATCAAAATGAATTAGCACATCTTATTTCTGCTATGGTAAAATTCTTTATCTAATATTTAAATGATTAAATTTGTTTTAAAGTATGATCGTGCTGGAGTAACAGTTCGTCAAGGTGAACAAGATCCACATAAACGTGCTAAAGAAATTATTATTAAACTTGATATAACTGGTGATAAAAAATTAAATCGAGATGAATTTATTAATGGGTAAGATTTGTATGAATATATTTCAAAATTTATTTTATTCTATTTGTTAGATGTAAAAATGATGAAGTTGTTCGAAAACTTCTTGCACCTGATCCATAAACAAATAATAATATTACATCTTGACTTTTTTTTCTTCTTCTTCCTATTTTAATAATAAATATATATTCTAGGAACCTATTCGATTACTTTTATTTTATTAAAAATGAATTATATCATTAAAATAAGACATAGATCACTAGATTTTGTTTTTCAATATGAAGAGAAAAATAGTTTGATATCTTTTTAAGAAAATAATTCCCTGTAAAGTAATGTACATTGTCTATGTTAAATCTATTCCGATAATGAATTGAATATTTTTAAAGAATTTGTGATGAAATTATTGTCGTTGATGATTGTTTACGTGATTTGATTTGTTTTGATTTAATATAAGTAAATAGGGGATGAAGTAAATAATTATTTTTATCTTCATTTATATAATTATTTATATTCAATGAATTTATTTGAATAAATAAATAATTTAAATGTATTAGATTATTTTGAAATGTATCAGCAATATTTGACAATGTCCATTTTGTACGTGTATTTAATTTTCGAATAAGAAGTCGTTTTAAATTTGGCATAAATTTAAGAAAATGTTCAACCATATTCCAATCAGTTGTTGGTCGAATATCATAAATAAATTCTGTTAATGTAATACATTGATGACGAATAGAATTCATTAATGGTTTCCAATGACCAACAACCTTAGTTTTTCGATGTAAAATATAAAAAGAAGTTAAACAAGGAAAATGAATAGAAAATATTAAAGAACAAAGCCCACTTGCATGTTTTACTCGCATAGTTGATAAATCGAGTTTTATTCGTTCAACTCTTGATAATTTTTCTGGGATTAATCGAATTGCACGATAGAAAATAAGTGAACGAACATTTGGGAATATTACTGCTATAGATTTTGCATCAGAATCATCAGGAATACTAATACTTGTAATACGAGATGCATATGAAGCAGTCAATAAACGTTGATTTTCAACAGTTGAACGAATTTCATAATGAAGATTATTTATTGAATGAAGGAAATTATTAAAACGTAAATTAAGATGAAAAAATGCTTTGTATAAATCAGAAGAATTTAAATAAGACTGAATTTGATAAAATATTTCATTTGGAAGATTTTCAAACCGACAATTATTATTCATCGTCAAACTTCGTTTTACAAATAACTATTTTCAAATTGAATATTTACAGTTTTAACAACATTTATTTGATATATTAGTCATTAACAGAAAACAAATTTTTCATTGACTCAAATATACTTGAATAAAAAACACAAATGCTTATCTTTATGTTTAATAGTATCTCGCATGATAAGAATGTTTTTTTTACATAAGTTAATATAAATCATTGGTGAATTATGATATTTTTTTAAAGTCGAATACAATATTGATGGGATTTATTCAAATTTATATTTTGCTTAAAAATAAAATCCTAATTATACTAGAAAAAATATATAAAAGTATTGATATTTATGATGTATTCTTGTAAAGAGACGATGATTATTATGTTATATTGAACGAGAGATATTTTTCTTCGAATATTTTATGTATTTTCAAATATAGAGCGATAATCATCTCGGTATAAGAATTTCTGTTAGTCACATTTGAATCTACGGTCAATTTATAGATGAAAGATATATTTTCTTTGTTAGATTTAATTGTTAATGATAATTCTATTTCAAAATTAGAAAAACAATAATAAAATGAAATAAATTAGTAAGATTTTCTTGAAAAGAATTTTTAAGCTTGAACAAAATGCATTAATCCATTAGTGTATTAAATGTCTATTACTGCGCACTCTATTGGTTAATTCGATTTTAATTAAACATTATTGTTCGTTGATTATGAAAAATTCCTTCTAAATATATTCAGAAAAGAAGTCAATTCATAGATAATCTTTATCGTTATTGTTTCACTTCAATACTTTAGAAAATAAACAGATCATTAACAAATAAATAATTCAAATCGAATTTGTTTCGATTTCTAATTAATTAAATTCGAATTTTGTAAAACCTATTCGAATAAAATTTGTTTAATAAAACTAAGTATATGTGTATATGATTCTTTGAAAGAAAAACGTGACCAAACTAGGTCTTATTATTTTTCCCCATTATTTGTTTCTTTCTTTCTTTCTCCCTTTCTCTTTTTATATTATTCGTTTAAATTTAGATAAAATAAAAATCTATGGAAATAATGAAACAAGAAAGTTGTGAAAATGAATTACAATTTCATGTTGATACAAATGATGATCAATCATGGTCAACAACAACATTAAAAACACCAACAATACCTTTTTCCAATTTTTATATAACAAAAGGACCATCATCAAATTGTTCAGGTAGTCATCACAAATTATCTGAACAATTAACAAATCCATCAAGTATCTTCTTTTTATCTTTGAATTTTCTAATTGAAAAACAATTCTTCTTATATTTAGGTACTAATAATGATGATACTATATTTGAATTTGATATAATGGATATTCCAGTACATAAACCACGTCTTGAACGTTCTCAAATTTATCGAAATGTTCGTGTATCACATGTTGATGAACATCTTTCATTTGTTTATATAATGCTTAATGAAGATTGGTTAGCTGCAACAAGAATGTTAAATGATACATTTCAACAAACTATTTTAGATAAACAACCAACAATTGATATTTTAACGTAAGAGAAAGAAAATATAGATTTATTTAATCGAAAATAAATATTTTCTTTTGATTTATTTTAGATTAAAAACTGATGGATATTATATGTGTAAAAGTCAATCATCATGGTTTCGTTGTCGTTTATTAACAAAAATAAATTTAATTACAAATGAAGATAATCTTGTGAATGTTTATTTAATTGATTGGGGAATGGAAAGACAAGTTTTACTTTCGGGTTAGATAGATTTCATTTATTTCAATTGATTTATTTATTTATATCTTTTTTAGACATTCGAGAAATGCCACAATCGTAAATCTTATTCGAAATTTAAATTTTTTCTTAATATTTAAATTTTAGTTTAAGTCGTCAATCAATCTGTTGTGTTCAATGTCGTTTATCTGGTATAAATAATGTCTCATTAGCTAATATTACAACATTAGCATCATGTCATCAATTATTAAGTTTGTATTAATTTAAATGCAGATCGGAAATAAGAAGAAGTTTGATCTATTTTAGATTATCATGATTATGAAATGCGTGTTCTTGCAAATGATTTAATTATTCTTAATCATAATAATGAAAATATAAATGATCAAATTATTAATTTACTTAATCAAGTTTGTTTGTTTATATATTTAATAAAAAGAGAAAAAATATTTTTCTTTTAGACTTATGATATGAGAAAAGAAGAATATTTAGAAGATGAATTTCGACATCAAACAATATTAAATATCGGTGATGAAAATTGGGCAATTTTAGCATCATATCGTGGTGATGATAATCAAAATAATGATTTTTATGTTCTTATGTGTGATAAAACAACAAATGATGTTGATAAAGCATTAGCAGCTATTGATTATCATCAATATAATGTCAAAGAACCACGTTCAATTCATCCACTTTGTGTTAAACCAAGAATGTAATATTTTATTTCACCTATTATTTATTTATTAATAAATAAAATTGTAATTTAGGATGGTAATTGCACCATGGAAACATGGTAAAGGTGATGGTGAAGAAATAACTGGATATTATCGAGCATGGATTAGATCAATTGAAGGTATTATTTGTTTTTTATTCGATTTAAATAAATAATAAAATAAAAATATTTTAAGGTGAAAAATGTCGAATTGTATTTGTTGATTATGGAAATGAATGTGATATTGAACGTTCAAATTTATTATCATGTCCATCATCTGTCTCATGTTTACCATGGCTTGCTATTCGTGTTCGTTTTCAACAATATCTTTCTCATGAAGAATTTAAACGTTTTTGGTATCGAACTGATTCACATTGGATTAAAATAAAAGTTAATCGAATTCATAATACACATTATACAATACAAGTTTTTATTGATTATACATCGGTTATTTTATCTGAAGATAGAAAAATTAAAATTCATTCAAAAGATAAATTACCGAAATCAATTTCTCAAGATTTAAATAAAGTAATTAAATAAAAAAAAAACAAAATAAGATAAATATGAAATTTTATTTGTTTAGTTAAATGATGATTTAAAACATGAAGAACCAAGATTAATACGAGATGATGTCTCATCATTAATATTATATGAAATTCGAAAAAAACTAAATCAACTTGCAGATAGATTCGATGAAAATGAAAAGAAAAATGATGAACGATATAATCAATTAATTGAACAACTTCAACATTAATAATAAACAAATAAACATTTCTTTTTTCGTTGTATTCAATCACGATATCTGTTGTGTTTTAGAATTTTTTTTTCTTTGTTGATAAACATAATAGATGAAATTAATCTCTTCGTTTTCATAATATATACTTCATTTATTTATGAAATATTTTCGACTTTAAAGATTAAACAAGTAGTTTTCAAGAAGAACATCGTATTGAGAAAAAGCACTATTTATTTATTTTTCCAAATATTCCCACACATTTAAATCTTTTTTTATCGAAATCGAAAGTCTAATAGTTCTTACTCGATTGAATAGACAGAAAAGAAAACGATTTTGCATATGTCATTTCTTAAAAGTCGTGCTTTATTACAATAAACGAAGTCACAGTTAAATTCTAAGATTTGCACGAAATTTATGTTATATTGTAGTACGTCTTGTTGTTTTATGGGTGTGAGTCTATCATCTTTTATGCACACTCACACCCTCAAAGAAAATCTCTCATTGTTATGATCTATTGTAACTAATATTAAATAAAAAATAGTATCTGAGATTTTAATCTTAAATAATTTAGATCTTCATTCTCATCACATATTATATTAAAATCAATAATTATTTTTCATCAGTCTATACATTTTCATTAGATATTTAATTATTTGATAGATAATGAATATATAAAAGTAAGTTTTATGTGAATAAATATTATATTTCTCATTATTTATTTAAAAGAAATTTTTTTTTAATTAAGTAGTATTATTATTGTGGAATAAAATCTTGCCAATCTTTAAAAGGATGTTGTTTAGCATCTTTTGCATCAGTCATTTTATAATAACGAAATCGAATTTTAATTTCATCATGAATTTTATTAAAATCTTCTTGAGTTAATTGAAATTGATTTTGTTGAAATAAATTGAAATTATCTTTAATTCTTTGATAATTTGATGATTTAACAATACAAATTATATTTCGATCAATAATATAATGAAGAAGAATTGATGCTGGATGAACATTATATTTTTCTGCAATTGATTTTATTGTTTTATCTTCTAAAATTTCAGGATCATTTTCATTTTTCCATGAACGATCTTTTGCACCTAATTAATTTTTTTAGAAAAATAATATTTATTGAATTATGTAAAAAAATAAAAGATCGAACCTAATGGAGCATAAGCTTCGAGAAGTATTTGATGTTTTTTACAAAAATTTTCTAATTCAATTTGAGGACAATATGGATGAATTTCAACTTGATTAACAACTGGTTTATATTTACATATTTGAAGAATACGTTCAATTTGTTCTTCATTAAAATTTGATAAACCAATAGATTTAACTAATCCTTCATCAATTAATAATTCCATTGCTTTCCATGTTTCAATAAAATCAATTTCATCAGCTAATCTTATTTCATCTCTATTATTTTCAGATGGATCCTAAAGACAAGAATATTTTAAAGAAAAAAAACAAATTTCAATCAAATAACTTTATCAATAAAAGCAAATGGCCAATGAATAAGAAATAAATCAAGATATTGACATTGAAGATCATTTATTGTAGCTAAACATTGTTGACGTACACGTTCAGATTTATGAAATGTACACCATAATTTACTTGTTAAATATAAATCTGATCGTTTAATTTCTCCTTTATTTAATTGTTTTATTAAACCTTGTCCAATACCTTTTTCATTTCCATATATCCAAGCACAATCAATATGACGATAACCAACTGTAAGTGCTGTTTCGACAACATTAATTATTTCTTCATCACTTGTTGCATATGTACCTAATGCTAATTGAGGAATTTCAAGATTATTATTCAATAGAAGTGATTTTGATGAAGACATCCTTTTTTTCGACTTTTATCTGAAATAACAAATTCATAATTGTTTCTAGTGTATTAACAATCAAAGAAAAATTTCATTTCATTTATGACTCGTTTCTTTTTAGTGCCACCTCGACCGTCTTATGCATATTTTCGTATCTTTTCCTGTGCAATGCCTAACTTAGTACAACTAATATATAAGTATGTGTAAAAGAAAAGAATAAGAGCATAAATAGAATACCCACACCCACCCCACCCTCTAGTATATCAACTACAAGTTTTATTTCAAAAGTTTTCATATTTCTTTTTTATTACGAAATTTTGATCTAGCCTATAAAATAAAATATGTGATGTTACTTGCGAAAAAGTCTTTGAGATAATAATCTAAAATGTTGTTGCTATATGTTTTATTAGAACTATAATAATCAATAAAAAAAGAAGTTCAAAATTGTTTTCCGACAAGAATAGTATGATCATTTTGATCAATAGTTGGCACATCAACAAAACCGAGACGTAAATAAAATTGATGTAAAGAAGTATTTCTTTCATCTAACAATGCATGACATCCATGAAAACCTAAAAATAAAATGTATCGTTTTAAATAATAATAATAAGAAAAATATGATTTTAAACCTCGTTTTAAAAGATTATCAATAAGAATTTGAATTAATTTCTTTCCAAGATAATAAATATTATCAAATTTTATTGTTAAATCAATAAAAATTTGTATACGAACAGAATATCGATCATAAATCCATTGAGGACATTCATTTAATTCAAAAAAACTCTAAATTAAAAATTAAATAATGTTTTTTTTTATTTGAAAATTAAAATTTATTAACTTGATCAACATTGACATATTTTTGATGAAGTTGTTCAATCCATTTTGCTTGAAATAATTTATCATATTTTTCACTTTCAGTTATTGTTAATACAAATCCACATAAATTATCTTCATTATTATCAATACCAAAACAAAGATCCCAATTATTTAATGAATTCAATAAATATCCACCAAGAATTCTATTTAACGAATTTTATCTTGAAACAATAATCAAAAGAAAAAAATTTACTTGTCCGCTAAGATTTGTGAATGTTGATTAAGAAGATGATCAACATCATCTTGATAACAAAGTGTCGTACATAATGCGTACATTGAAGGCTAAAAAAATAGAAGAAGAATAAAACAATGAATGATTTTCTTTTATTATTAACTTGATCATTTGAAGTTAATGATCGAATAAGATAAATATTTGATAAAGAATTCATATCCGATTTAATTAATGATTGATAATCACCCAATGGAAGAATATTCTATTTAAAAGAAATATATTTAAGAAAAGAAATAAATGAATAAATAAAATACAAACAAGGAAATCTCCTGCAATACCACCACGTATTGACCATGGTTCAACATCACCTGACATAAACATTGATGTACGGCTATGATCACTATCTAAATTAGTTTACTTCAATTGATATATATATATTTAAATAAAATTTTCACCAATCCAATGAAGATATTTCGAACAAAGACTTATAGTCGAATTAATATCATTTATATAATTATAAACATCATAAAGTAATGCACGATTATGAATTGCTACCATTTTTTGAAGTAAACGTCCAATATTTTTAGCATTTTCATGAAATAATAATGCACGACAACGCCATTCATTTAACTAAAAAAAACGTTTTAATATCTTATGAATTAAATAAAAAAAAATAATTACATTTTCATTTGATTTATAATTAAATCTAAGCCAATGAAAATTCATAAAGATTTGTTGAGCATTTGCTCCATGTTCATATGGTAAATAAAATAATTCAACTAAAAGACGAATATCATCTATTGTTAAATCTAAAGAATTTCCATGACCATCACATTCCATTGTATGAACTTTGGATGATGATGATGATGATTGAGTATTTTCATTGATTGAATCTTGAGAATCTTCATCATTTAATGATGAAATTATTGTTTTAGGACTCATTGCTTGGGGAGAATTATCAATCTTAATTTTAAGAATTTATTTTCTATTCAATAAAATATATATTTAAATTACCTTGGAATTGTGTTGTGAATCATTCGCTAATTTAATTTTATTAAATTCAGGTAACCATTGAATAAGAGATTGATGAAATGCTTTATCTACATGATAAATTTCTGATGTTTGAATACTATCATCATCATCATTATCATCAATTTTTTCTCGTTTTTCATTTATTTTTAATGATTCAAACCATTGACCAAGAGTATTTAATGGAATAAAATTTAATTCAAATTCACAATTTGGATTTGCTAACATTCCAGATATTCGCGATGATAAATTTGATGAACGACCAGAAAATGGTCCCATACATAAACGACGTTGATCATAATCATTTGCATTTAAATTATCCCAAATTGTTACACGACGTTGTAAAACACTATTCACGGATAAGATATGAGGTACTGTTATTCGACGAGATACCACTTTTGGACCTTAACAAATCTCAAATAATAATTATACATCCTTTTCACGATTTAATAAATCTTACCAGTCCAGAAAATATCAATATCTGGATGAAGACCATTACCAATTGTTTGTAAATAAGGAGATTTTTCCAAAGATGGATCTGCCTGTCTAGCACAATATTCTAAAAATAAATTTTTATTTAAATATTTGAACTATTTTGTTATAAAAGAATAAAACCTGTTGGACAAAATATAAGAATATTTGGTTTATTAAGATAATCATATATTTGATTGGTAACAGCAACTTGAGCATGAGCAAATGAAGAAAATGTATCTTTATCTTGTTGAGACATTTCATTTTCAATATCATCAAATAATAATGCCCAATGTTCACAACCAATACTTGATAACTAAACAATTTTTTTTTAAATAAATTAAAAAAAATCTAATTTCATACTTGATCAAATTTTCTTTTAAGTGCTGTTAAATCTTTTTCTGATGAATAAGTTATATCAAGACCTGGTGATAATGCATAGATAAAATTAATTCCACATTGTTTAGCGACATGAATTAATTGTGAAAGTTCATTTGATTCTTCATTTGTATATAATTCTCTCCAACGAGATCGATGTTTTGCATCATCTTTTGGTGCATAAACATATGTATTTAAACCAAATTTTAAACAACTATTGAAATATATAGATTTATTTACATTTCTTCTTATTGAAATAAAATACAAACTATTCAAAAAGAGTTTTCCGTTGATTGAATGACCATGGACGACCATAATAACCTAAAATGTATATATATTATTAGACTTTGATCTACGTTATTGAAAATTATATAATCAAACAACATAGTGAATCTTAAGATTTCGAAAGATTAACATATTATTAACACAACTGATTTGATCTCTGCTATCATCATCTTGATTATCACAAGTAATTTATTATTAATTAAAAAAGACGAAATACTCAAAAAGAAAAATTTCAGTTGTAAAGTTTTGGAAGATTATTTTAATATGATAAAAATTAACTAAGAATAAATATATATATACAAATCTACCTTCAATAACTCCACAAAGAAACTGATTTGTTTTCATATTGTTTCACTAAATAACATCTAAAAAAAGGGTGTAGATTTTCTTTCTCATCTTCTTTAAATATACTGTTTTTATCTTTATATTTTATCTTAAAATAAACACACAACCCTCGAAAACTGATATCTGACACAAAAAAACAAAATAAAATGTAAGTTGAGAATTTAATTCGATTAAAAAGTAAGATTAGTTTGATGAATATCATTCCAAATTTGAATTAATTTTTGAGCATGATATCCTCGAATACAAATAGGTTTTTTATCAACATGAAAATCAATTCTATTATTAAAAATATTTTTCCATCTTGATAAAAATTTTGTTTGATTATGAAAATACATTGTTGATGATAATGATGTTGAAAAAAGTTCATTATTTTCAATTAATTTAATTGACATTGAATATGCCAATATTCCCATATAAATATGATCAAAATGAAATAAACGAATATATTTTGATGCTATATAAAATAATCTCGCATTATATCTTGTCATTAAAAAACATCCAGTTGAAATATATGCTGGATACATATCATATGGATAATCAATTAATGAAACATAATAACGATCATTTAGAAATCGTCGAGGACGTGATCCTTCAATAAGTTCACCTGTTATAAATGTTCGTCTTTCATATGTTGTTATATCTGGATCTTCATCAAGACGACGAAGATATAATAATAATGAATCAATATCTATATAATAATCATCATCAACAAATAAAACATAATTTCGAAGATCTTGATACGAAGTTCGTTCAGATTTTGATGTACAATAATCAGTTATCCAACGAAGCATCATTATCATTTTAGCTTGACAAAATAAAAAAATCTTGCTATTATTTTAATTCAAAAATAAATAACTTACATGAAGTATAATAATAAGAATCCAATTTATCAATTTGAATTATATCACCATATTTTGTCATTTCATTTTCAATACTTATGTTATGTCGATTTTCACCTTAACGAAAAAAAAAGAAAATTCTTTAGAAAATCTTTTCATAATTTAAATTAAAAATCATGCAAGTAACATGCACTAATAATGAATTTAACTAAAGCAAGAAATAGATGCGTACTTACTTTTAATTTAAAAAAAGTTTTGATCTATTTTTTATAAAAATATTTGTATAGAAAAAAAGAAATTTCAAATAAACTTTACCTAAAACAAATGCTAATTTACAACTTTTTTTTCCTAATTGTTGTTTTTCTCCCCAAGTTAATCGGATAGCTTGTCTTTCTTGAAATTTTTCACAAGATGATTTAACTAAGATGAGTACATGAGGTTGAAGAAGTATTTCAGGATCAAGTGAACGACCACATAAATATTCATTTTCAATAAGAAAATGATTTGAAAGAAGATTTTTTGGTGAACCTAATAAACGTTCAGGATGTTCTTCTATTTTTGTTGCATCAATACGTATCATATTTAAACTATATTCTTCATCAAAAGATTTTTCAGGCCAAAAATAATATTTTAAACCAAATAATAAATTTAAATAATACATTATTAATATACAAACAGCACATTTTAAATAAAATACTATAGAAAAACGACGAGGAGTTGATGATTTTAATGAACGTGGCATTAATTTTAACTAAAATTAGAAAATTCTTTGATGATTTTCATGTGAAACACATGAAAATAAAATCTATCAAATCCCTAGATGTTATGGCATGTGTCGAAGTCGTGTTTCGTTCTACTTTTCTCATTTCTTTATATATACATGTATATGTTTACTATATCTCTTTCTCCCCTTAGTGAGTTTTATCTTTGATCTAATATTTTTGCATTTTCCGAATCTAACCATAACATCAGGCAGAGAAATATAGAATCATATTACTGTGCTCAAGTTTACAAATGAATCCAATTGAGTTCATATTTTATGTATATAGATAATATCCATAGACTAAAATTTAGTAATTATCTTAACAAATATTTTTCCTAATTAAGAAACATCGAATAAATTCACATAATGTTTGTTCGCTATTTTCTATTCATTTCTTAATAATGACATACTATTTGTCTATTTCAAGTAATTATATACACGAAATTTTTCCGTAAAACGTTCGACTTACTTTATGAATAAAGAAAATATTTAAAATAAATTTAGAAGATAAAATTTGACAATAAATCTGTAAAAATTAATATGAAATAAAGAAGAGAAATTTTTCAAAAAAGAAAAAGAGCCCAAAAGTAATGAAATAAATATTCATCTCAAACAGAGAGGAGAAAAAAAGAAGAATTAACATATTTTTGACGATTTTGTCTAAAAAACGTTTTTTTTTTCTTTCTTTTTTAAGATCATAAAAGAAAACTGTTAAATTGCAAATAAAAGAAAAAGAAAAAAAAGAACGAAATAAGTAAACATAAACATTGATCGGACATGACACAGAAAAAAAACTGTACTGTTAGTTTTCCTTTTTTTAAACGAAAGTCACTGCAGGTTTATTGTTCAATGATATTTGTTCATCAATATTTAGATTTGAATTTGTTGTAGAATTTGAACGAATTAATAATTCAGGTCCACCACCATATATTGAATAGAAAAAATTCCATCTCGATTCATTTATTTGTAAATGATTACAATCTTAAGAGAAACAATATTTTTATTTTCAAGTTTTAAAAACAAAAAAAATATTTACCACGTCGTATTAAACGACTAACACCATTTTTTGTTATTGATATTCCTGTATTTGATATTGGACCTGGTGGTTCTATTTATATAATTGAATAATAAGAATAATATTTTGTAAAAATTAATTTTACCTGATGATCTTTCACAAACAAAATTTTCCCAATCTCGAAACCAATTTGGACTTAGTGCATAAATAGCATCATTATCTTTCTCAGATCTTTTCAACTAAAAAGAAAATAAAAGATTTTATTTTATATCCGTAACGGAAGTAAATACAATTAAGGCTACGCTTATGAAAGAAGTTTTATCGGTTGACAAATAAATATTGTGTTTATCTAACAAAAAATGATTCTTAATTGTGAAATAATGACCAGCTATGACTAGATCTATATCCAAAAATTTCATTGAAACATCTCCTAAAACAATCTCTATGTATGCTTTGTTACGAAGGTTTCTATTTGAGATTTTTTAAAAATCTAAGTATATATTTTTCATGTTTTTAGTGGATCGTTTCAAAACTCGTGTGTATTATCTATATCATTTTAATAAAAATAGAATTCTTACTTGTAAAAATGTATTTTTTTCTAAACGTTGTCGACATTTTAAATTTTCATCTTCTAATTGACATTTTCTACATGGATATAATATATTACACACTGGAGATCCATCATATCTTTTAAAAGAAATATTTAATATTTTGTTTTATTTTTTATTAAATCTTACTTTTCAGATAAATATTGCCAAACACTTTCAGGAACTGGACAAACGAGATCATTAATAACACTCCAATAATGTGGTAATACACCTGATTTAAAAATAAATGAAACAATTTCTTCAAAATATATTTCAAAGAAAAAAAAACATACCGCCATGTTTACATAGAAAATCATTATTTGTTATTGGTCCTGGTTCAGCAAAATAAAAAAGACGATTTATCCATGAACGAGATATGTAATATGGTAAAAGATATTCCTTTATAGATAAATAAATAAATAATTATTTAATTTTCTTTCAAGAAGAAAAAACAAATAACAAACTTGATCTCTTGATAATAAATGTCGAATTGTTTCATATTTTTCAGTTGTTATATTTGATTCTTTTTTTCTAAAGAAAAATTTCAATAAATTTCTTGTTTAATTAAATTCAAAATAGAAACCTATAAAAAAGAACATATGCTTCAGCATTTTGAACAGTTGCTGGATCAACTTGTCGAACATTTTCATCATCATATTCATACCATTGTCCACTAAGACCATTTAATCCATACGTTGTATAATGACCACTACCCGCTCGACCATAATGAACAATACATGAAAATAAATCATACAAATGAATTTTACTTCGACAATCTAATAAAGATTTTATTTCAAATTTTATATATTTATATGAAAAGAAGAAGAAGAAAAAACAAACCTTTATGAATAAATGAAGTCATATCAAGATCAACAAGTGGAAATGATACATAACTTCCGATTTTTGTATATATCATTGAATCATGACGAAAACGTTTTAAATGAATACATAAAACCTAAAATTAATAGTTTATTAAAATTATCTTATGATGTATAATAAAAATAGCCTTATAATCATCTATTTATAGTTAGATCAAACGTTCATAGAATATCATTGACACACTTTCTCATTTTAATAAATCAAAATAGAGACATGCAAAATTAAAAAACTTTTTAGATTTCTCAATAGGATTTAAATTAGAGTTTAGAAGAGAAATAAAATACAATCTAATGCAATCATAATTAGCATTTGCTGAAAGAACTGTACATGATTTAATTGTTAGTCAATCTATTGTGATTAATTTTGGTCTAAAATAAATTTTACATTAGATCTTTCTATTAAATTTGTTAACTCTACTAATTATCTGAGATTCTAATTCATTGTAATTAATTATTTTTCTCTTGTATGAATAAAAAATGCAAAACTTACTTCAGGTAATTCAATGACTTTACAATATTTGATTCCATTTCTTAATCTAATTGAAAAAAAATGAAAATATTTATTTTTCTAGTTATTTTATTTCTACTAAATCTTACTTTCCACATTTTTCACAACTATACATATTATCTCCAGTAAGTTCATCAGCTTGAAAAAATGCTTGTAGACAATCTTGTAATGTTAATGATGGACCCCATATATTCAATGACCACATACTTAAAAAAATCTTAATGAATAAATTTTTTTGTTTTTAGAAATAAAACAAACTTTTTAAATATTGAATAAAACCATGAAAACCATGAATCATTTTTATTTTGATCAAATATTTGTTGATTTGTTGTTAAAATTGATTCATCATTTCCAATTTGTATTGAATGAAATTTCTAAAGAATAATAAAAAGAAATTAAATATTTAAAAAAGAAAAAAGAATAATAAAACTAACTTCAAGTTGTTCTCTTGATGGAATTGGTAATGAAAGATCTTGAAATGTTTCAATAGTTGTTGATCGACGATTACATGTTAAACATTCAATTTGACTTTGAATACGTCCATCAAATATTGATGAAATTATTGATTGAGAATATTTTACTTTTGACTTTTTCTCAAATGAATAAACTTTACTTTTACTTTTTTCAAATATATTTAATTGTGTTTCAGATTGTTTATTTGTATTAAATGAAATACCAGAATCACTTCGACTTAATGATTTAGATTTTTCTCGATATAATTTTCTTTTAGAATATTGTTCAAGTTCATTTAATGATGAATATTTACTTTTTTCATCATCATTACTATTATCATCTGTACTTGATTGAACATCAGAATTACATGTTTCATATTCAGATTCAACATTTCGACTAAAATAAAAAAACAAATTAGATTTATAGTTAAATACTACTAAATCCTAAGAGATTCTCTAGAAATAATCTCATTAGTTAGAAGAAAGATCGGAATCTTAAAAATATCTCGAAATGTGGTTGTTTTTTTTCCAATATATGAATAATTTCATATCTATTGTTATTAATTCTTACTAAATGAAATATTATTTATAAAACATAAGAAAAAAACAAGAGGGAAACAGACATGAATAATTTTTTTAATCCTTTCTTGTATAACGCATCGTACTAATATATTATAAGTGATTCTCTAAGGATTTTCTGAATGAGACTTGAATAGAATAAAAATGTACAGTATATTCTAGAGGTTTTATAGAAATTAGAATAAAATGAAATACATACTTAGGTATGAGAATTGCCATTTCACTACTTTCTGTACTACTACTTTCACTTCGATATTTATCATCTGAATCTGTTTGAATAATTTTCATTTCTGAATGTAATTCATCCATAAAACATCGAAGAAATTCTTGTGCATCCTATAATTAAATAAATATAAAAGAGTAATTTTGTTTTTTTAAAATCAAACTTGTTGAGTATAAGAACGAAATGATGGATTTATCGAACGAATTTCTGCTGCTATCGAACTTGGATTCATTACTTGACTAAATTCAAAAAAGAAATTTTATTAAAAAAAACAAATACACAAGAAAAATTATTTCAAACTTCTGTCGTCCACGAGTTGGTTTTGCCCACATCGATTCAACAAATTTTGAATACGCTTTAACTAATCTTCCATTTGATTTGTTATGTGATGATGATGATGATGATGAATCTCCGTTAGCACGACGATATGTATTATTGGCAACAAATGGAATACAATCAAGAAAATAACTTGTTAATGGAACACTTTTATTAAATAAAATAAATATAAGAAAAAAATAATAAAGAATTCATTTTCTTTTACCAGTTTGAAAGAGCTTGTAAAGCTGAATTCATATAACATGTATTACCTAAATTATATAGACCAGATATTCCTTAACAGAAAAAAAAAGAAATATTTTAAAGATATAAATAAATTGTTTTTTGTTAAAAAAAGAAAACCTCGAGTAAAATCTGTTGTATCTGCATGTTCAAGTTCAAAAAGTGTTGGTTCAAAGGATTTTTCATATTGATTATGACGATTAGTTGAGGAATTTTCAATAATATTAACAAGGTTAACTTCGATGGAATTATTTATTGATTGACTTATATTATTTACTAATTTTGATGATTTTACTGGTAAAATTGAACGATCAATAAATGGTAGTCTAAATGAAGAAAATATATATTGTTTTTGTATAAAAAAAACGAAATAAAATTCTTTTACTCAAATGGTGGATCATTATTTATAAGAATTTCTTGATTACAAACATAACACCAAATACGTTTTGTAGTTAAATTAAATTGAAGTGGATGAGCTTTTTCTTTTTCATGTTCACTACTATGATCATTTTTGTCTTTTCCTGAACCACATCCAATAAATAAACAACCTTCTCTTAAACATAACCATAAATGAGGACCAAAACAATCACATTTTTCACATTTTTCCAACTAAAATTAAATATCGATTGATTTATATTAAACAAGAAATAAAAACAAACTTTAAGTGCATTTAAATAATCTTCTGTTTCAATTGATCCAATCGTAGCAACATGTGGACAACGACTTAAATTATCTGTCATTGTTAATATTAATTTCAGAAAAGGAAAACCTTAATTAATATGAAAATCGGAACGTTTTTTTCCATTGGTTTATATAAATAAGCCAATCCTGTTACTATGAATATTACTAATAATACACATCAATATGACACATTTACAATAGATGACGCTAAAAGCTGCTGTTTCTTATGTCAAAGATTATATAAGTAAGATCTTCATATA